ACTTCAGCTACCATCTCACCACTTCCCCCAACCTATCGTAGTGCACTGAAAGATCCTAACTGGTATGATGCAATGTGATGAATTTAATGCTTTAATAAAGAATAACACATGGGAATTAGTACCCCCCTCCCCCACTCAAAATGTTATCACTGGCAAATGGCTTTTTAGACACAAATTTGGCCCCACAGGTGATCTGTCTAGGTACAAAGCTCGTTGGGTAGTCCGAAGGTTCAACCAACGTTTGGCATTGATTACAGTGACACGTTTAGTCCGGTCATCAAACCGGCCACCGTCCGGATTGTCCTCAATTTGGCTCTCGCTCGAGGCTGGCCCATACACTAGCTGGATGTCAAGAATGCTTTTCTCCATGGCCACCTTTAGGAAACCGTCTATGCCAGTCAGCCTTCTGGGTTCAAGGATCCATCACGCCCACACCACGTTTGCAAACTCAAGAAGGCCCTTTATGGCTTAAAACAGGCCCCTCGATCTTTGTATCAACGGTTTGCTGGATTTCTACACCACATCGGGTTTCAGGGATGCAAGACTGACACTTCCCTATTTGTTTACACATGTGGCACACACATGGCATACTTGCTCCTTTATGTTGATGACATTGTGCTCACAGCCTCGACGACCATGCTACTATCCCAGATCACAGAGCGCTTAAAAGGAGAATTTGCCATGACAGATATGGGGGAACTTAATTTTTTTCCTCGGCATCAATGTTCAGCGCACCAAACAGGGACTTTTCCTACATCAGGCTCAGTTTGCCCACGAAATTCTGGACAGAGCAGGTATGACTCACAGTAAGCCCATCTCTACGCCCGTGGACTCCAAAGGGAAAATGTCCGCTACAGTTGGTGATCCAGTCCCCGATCCATCTCTTTATTGGTCCCTTGTTGGTGCGCTTCAGTATCTCACTTTCACTCGACCCGATCTCACATATGCAGTACAGCAGTTATGTCTCTATCTTCACGCTCCTCGGACGCCCCATCTTACTGACTTTAAAACGGGTTCTCCGTTATGTACAGGGCACCTCTACCTATGGGATTACTCTATCCCGCAGCTCCACCGATCAACTTCAGGCCTACTCCGACGCTGATTGGGCTGGTTGTCCTGACACACGACGCTCCACATCTGGCTACTGCATTTTTCTCGGGGACAATCTCGTCTCATGGTCTTCTAAACGAAAATGAACCACCTCCAGATCTAGTGCAGAAGCCGAGTACCGAGCCGTAGCAAATGCTGTTGCTTAAACCAATTGCATCCGAAATCTTATGTTTGTTAGCTCAGCTTATGTTAATGTGCTTAATTATTGATTTAAGTGTTTATTATGTGTAGCCATGACATGATGTAGGCTACTCTGTTGTTATGCTGGTTCTGGATTTGTATGCTTCTGTGTTTAACCATCCCAAAATTGATTGAAAAAATAGCAATTGCAAGGATGCAATAAATTATCATCCTCTTTATTATGTGAAACTTCCGATAATTTATGTTTTCGTTCACATTTTAATTTCATTTGATAAAATAAAATAATCACGTCATTATTATCTTGTAGAATTTTTATGTAAACTTTAAATATGTAAATTTTGCAAGAGTATTTTGTTATTTTTATAGAAATTTGTAAATCAAATTATTTTAAACATATTAGATCATCCGTCCCCTTGAGTAGCTTACAAACTGCAGCCCCAGCTTTGGGTCATCCCATTGATTAGCTTCTCAGAATCTTGTAGGTGGGAATATACAATAGAGATAATAACATATGTTACCCTCTCTTCTAAAGGGCAACAACCCCTTCCAACTTCTAAAGGGCAGAGCCCCTGCAGAGTGTACGCTTCGTTGAGTTTGTTAAACTCTTTTCCTTTTAATGGAATTCAAAATCTTGAATTGGAAAATTTAGAATTAGAATCCAAATCCACATATTTTTGTGATTTCCAACCGCAGAATTAAAATTGAAAATCTACCATTCGAAATTTCATGACTTGAACTATGTGTATCAAAGAGAACTTGATTTTTTTAATGAATATATTCGCCACCTTCCTAAATTTCAAATTCTGAAGATAAATACAAGTGCACGGAGTAATAAGCAATTTCAAGCATACATCCTGGGACACAATGAACATGTGTTCAAGTTTCTTTCAAGTTAAAAGATTCTCACCAAACATTTAATTTACAAGAAGTATCACACAATAACAGAGACTGCAGTGTTGAACGAAGATATGAACTCAGCTGAAATCCAAATGCTCAATGATCTCAAAATGCATCTGCATGTCCGGAGGCATGTCGCCGAAATACAGCCTCTCGCGAACATACAATTTCCCCATGTGTCTATGAGCAACTCCCTTAAGAACCCGGACGAGTTCGTCTTTTTCCCTCCTGATCCAACCTCGCCTCACATCACCCCACTGCCTGGGGGTCCCATGCAAGAAAAAACGAATGCAGGGTGCCCCTCTCTTGAACCGGTCCGATATTTTGCCAAACACATCTTGGTTGGTGAGATATGCCCCTTTTGTGTTCAGACCAACATCCACGTAATGGAACTCGGCTATGCTGTTCAGAAACCTTTCTTTAGAAGTGGGCGTGATCTCATCTTTGTTTGCTTGGGGGTCTTTGTCTTCGGGTGACAGGACTGGGGAGACAGCGAGCTCGGAGAGAAGCTGGTTGAGTACGGTTCCGCCCTTACTAAAGCCCAGGAGTATTGTCCTAGGTTTTTGAGAAGGCTGTGTGGTGTCCTCTGCAGTGAAAATTTGTTTCTGTCTTGTCCCAGCAACGACAATTTTAGCCTACAAGAGAAAAAAACTGTCAAGAAAACATCAACCCACACCATTATTCATACATTCTTTAGTGAGCAATGAAATAGGAAGTATAGAGCATTTCTCTGGCACTCTTTGACTGATATAGTCATAATAGACACATGGATTGGTGCAAACAATTATCCATGCCTTTTTCCCAAACACAGCCCAAGGGCACTTACTCCTCGGTGTAATCCAGTCACCTCTGCCTCCCTTCCTTATCTCTCTCTTCGCACTCAGACACGAATACGGAGTAAAAATCAATTCAGTGCAGTGAGGCACCAAGTCGAAAAATGGTGGGAGCAATGGGAAGAACAAAAAAAAGTTTGAAAACCCTATCTAGAGCCGGCGTAGCTGCTTGAGCAGCGGAAGGTTTGGACAGATGCACAGCCCTAGCATGTACTGCGCTGAACTTATTATACACGTCCAGATTAAAAAGTGCAAATATTCCAAGGAAGAAAATGGGAAAAATCGTAGAAGAGATGAGATGAAATCAATTGCAAAAATCTGAAACCGTACCAAACATTTGAGTTAATGATAGAACTTGGGGAAATATCATCAACAAGGCAAAAAAAAATTCATTGCAAAGATGAGGATAGAAACAAACTTCAAAAAAATGAAATGTCAAACTTCTAAAAAAAACCACTAGAACGAAATTACTATGGGATAGAACATTGTCAAAAGACTAGATAAAAAGATTAAAAAAAAGACTCACCAAAATCACTCCTATGAATGGCGGGAAGAACATCATCATCGCTGCTGTCGTTGCCATTTCCAACTGTGTTGCCTTTGTCGCCGCTGCCATTGCCTTTGCCATTTCCACCACCTGTGTTGCTGTCATTGCCACGAGCAACATCCATCCCAACCAATCTATTCACCTTCCCTACTAACCTCTATGATGTCAACATTCTTTTCCACTCTGCTAAGTATCTCAGATGCTGAAAGATGGAGGGTATACTTCAATTGGATGCTCTCATAGATGGCTCTGATTTTGTCTTCTTTTTTTTTTATTAAAGAGAAGAGACTACTGAAGTTACTTGAGCCACCCTTCCGCTTCTCGAGCAGCTAAGCCGGTTTTAGATAGGACTTCCCAAACCTTTTTTGTTCTTCCTTTCAATTGATTACATTTCTCGATTTGGTAACTCGCCACACTGATTGAAAAAACGTTTCATGACTGAGTGTGAAAAGAGAGATAAGGAAAGGAGGTGAAGGTGACTTTATCACACCAAGGAGTAGATTCCTTTGGGTTGAGTTTATGGAACCACAACCTTCGCAGAGATCCATGGCCACCATCCTTGATTGTCCCGTCGCCTAGAAGTCATCCAGTTGTCGCCTTCATGCGTCTAAGCTTCCACACCTGAACCTAAGGTCGAAATCCTAGGCAGCACATTCTATTTCTCATCTGTGTGAATGGATAAATGCAAATAGAAGCAGATGAGAATGACTGAGGAAGGAGTATGCTAGCTCCCCACTTGCTAGACCGGATGATTGATGGAGTCTAATTTTTTATATTATCCTATTACGGATGCCTTTGGGCATGAAAACTAACTCGGTTTTCTTAATCTCTTTATATAGAGAAGAATGCTCAAGTACCATCTTGTTTCTATAACTTTTTATGGGTTCTTTGGCAATGCGCAAATGTTTTTCTTATTGTACTAACTTTGGAAACAACATCTCTACATTCACACATGAGGGTAATGTATGTGAATAGACACCCTATTTGTGGGATATTACTAAGTTGTTTTTTCGTGAAGCGAACCACAAACATGGTTGCTCGAAGAATCGGTACCTCTTTCAAGCAATTCCAGAGCAGCAAGACTAACGATGAAGAAGCCGGAAATTCCTTTGCATCGTAGACTTCAGGCTCTCCGGAATCGTTACATGAAGGGATGAAGTCCTTGTAAACACCAAAAGGGCCATTGAATATGGGGGCTTCAATCACCCAAGCATTGACCGAATCCCCAAATTTCGAAACCAAGATTTCTGCAACCTTCTGCAAATCTGATAGCCTCTCTATCACAGGATTCCCCGTCCCTTCAACTCGGTCTCCATTGAAAAATATAGCATTTGCAGCAGGTACCTATATCATCATCATCAATAATTCACAAAATTTAACCAAATTGACACCTTTTTTCACAGATTCAGCTCATCAAGCAAATCACAAGCAAGCCATATTCCTATTGGGTGGAAAATTTATTGCCAGAAATTGGGGAGGGGAAAATGATGGGTTTTGCGAAAAAAGACTGATTGGAGAAAATGACAACTCGAAGAGAACACAGAGATGGAAGAATTGATTACCGGAAAGGTGTTGGAAGACGGAGAGAGGCGGAGCGACGCCGCAACCCGGTAGTACGTTGTGCTGCTACGTTTGTACAACGGCACCTTCAAGATTCCACTCCAGCGATCCATGAATTCCCTAAAAAAGATGGAAAAAGAAATGAAAAAAATCCACTCCAGAAATAATCACTACTACGGAGTTATATCAATTATCGAAAGGATTGAAATTGAGAAGGGAAATAAAGTTTAAGGATTAAATTCATAAAATGGTACTTGAAAATTTGACTTTTTAATTTTTTACGGTCTCCAAGATTGCACTTTGACCACTAATATCTTTATTTATACATGGAAATATTTTCTAGAAATTTGATATTTGAAAATTATATTTCAAAATGAATATATTCATATTAAAGTTATATCATAATACAATATATTTTTTCTACATATCATAGTCAAAATTTACAAACTTTGACTAAGAAAAGTCAAACGGGAAGAATATTTCCGGACGGATGGAGTATCTAATACTAGAAATCATCTTAGATAGGACTAAAACATAGATAAAAATATCAAAATAGGACTTTAATGTTTTTATTCCTGAAATAAGACTTTGCACTGTGGTAATGTGACAATGTAGATATGTACATTACTATACTTTTTGGTAATGTACTTGACCACGTTTGGTAATGTAAATGCATTTTAACTCCTATTTCGAGCTATTTTGGTATATTTTGTTAACTTGGTTGGACAAGTCGTGAAAAATTTAACAATGACATATCGTGCGATTTACCAAACCAAAATTGTCTTTCAAAATAGAGTCTAGCACGACTTATGGCCTGCTTGAGAATAGCGTTAGCAATTAGCGTTTTGAAAGGCTATCTACGGACAGCATTTAGCATTAACGTTTGTAAAATAATCTGCACCGTTAAAATTTTATCCAAAACGCTAACACTAATCTCTATCGTTATTCTCAAGGAGGCCATACAGATTTTGTTGCTTCTTCTTCTAAATACAATATACTCCGAATTACTGATGTACAAAAACTGATGAAAGATTAGATATACTCCCTCCGTCCATAAATAAATTTCTCGTTCACTATTCACATTGTCAAATTTTATTCACTTTGTTGTCATCTTTTCGTCACTCATTTAATAAAATAATATAGTCATGTCACATCTAGTTTTGTAGATCTTTTGATATAATTTTTAATATGTAATTTTTATTTTTAAATTGTATACCATTTTTCATATAAAATATTTTTAAAATAATTTCAGTCAAATATCATAACATGCAACGGGAAATTTATTTTTGAATGGAGGGAATATATGATGATGGAGCCTTATTGGCTTTTTGTCAAGGGAAAAAAAGAGCTTGAAAACGAATTAGTACTCATTGGAGCCGGCCTGTTAATCCTTAAAGTCAAGCATAGTACTTCAATGATATCACATACTATAATCTTCAAACATTCATTATATTTTCCAAGAAAGTTCACTTTCTACCTAAAGCTCTAAAATGGATGGTGATAGTGGACATTCACCAATTGGCAAAGGATGGAGTGCGAAGGGAGCAAGATTTGATTCAATTTTGGGCAAGTGAATTGCAAGGCAACTATGCAAAGCATATGACTTCTGCACGTACCAAGTACAGCGGTACAGGCTCAACTATTTGACACCAATATACGATCAAAGTCTAATTTACTTCCTCGTAGTGAACGTCCGATCGGGTCTAAAGTGATCCTAGCGGATGTGGCTCTTTCTTTTTCTTTTTTACAAATGCATGCTTAGCTTCAAAGTTCACAGATAAAAATGTATGTATGGCGTATGTCATACTACCTCCGTTTCTCAAAAGAGTTCCTCTTTTGACTTTGGGGGAAAATAAGGAAGTGTTAAATTGTAGTTGACTTTCCAATTTTGCCCTGGGTAAAAGTAAGATGTGATAGTTTAGTTGTTAGTGAAAAAGTATGATGTGATATGTAGAGTATGAAAAAGTAGGGGTAAAAGTGGTTTTTTAATAGAAAGGAGAAGTGTTTTAAGAAAAACAAAAAAAATGAAAAAGGAAGGGTTTTAAGAAACGGATGGAGTATATGGCACTCACTTCTTAGAGTTTGTTTAATATTCTTCAACTTACTAGTATTACTAATTACTTATGGTATTAGAATCATATTAGACTAAACAAGATAATACCAGTATCAAAAATAATTTTATATACGATAATAATTAGATCAGAATTTATTCCAATTAGATTAGGTGATAAGAACAAGCGCTTACTCCTTATATCCAAAATTATTTGTCCTAGCCTAGCTTGAGTTTTATGATAACTTCGATCATCGAAAGAAAATTATATTTAAATATAATTTGAATTTAATATTTTTAGATTCGTTTTGAGATGTAATTTTGATATATCTAATTTTTTGTAAAATATGAACTTGGAATTATGAGACTTGGGAAAAACTAGAATTCAAATTTCGGTCTATCACTTTAAATAGATTTTTTTTTCTTCAAAAAATGAATATCCAAAGTGCTACTAGATTATCCTTCAATCCAAGAAATATTTATTTGACTTTTTGGTCAAATTTCACAAATTGTGACTACAATTTTGAAAATAATATATTTATTATTTTGTATAGTACGGATCAGAGTATAATTATTTAAATATAATAATTGAGATTGGTTAAAACTTAATTTTTCTGATATATAAATTTTGAAATAATATATTTTAAAATATATTTTCTCACAAATTGTGACTACAATTTTGAAAATAATATATTTTTTGATATACTTCCTTCGTCCCTAAATATTTGTCACACTTGTATTCTCGAGGCAAAATATCAAGTTTTTTCAATTCATTTTATTTACATATTGGTATAGAAATAAAAAATAAAATTTACATATCAAAAAACTATTCCCTCCGTCCTAAAACCATCTTCCCGTTTGTGTTTACGAGGTTTGATCGACTTTATTTTCAATTCAATTTATTTGATTGTAGGTGTAAAATTAAAAAACAAAATTTATATATTTAAAAACTACATCAAAAGTTCTACAAAACAAGAGGTGACAAGACTATATTATTTTATCAAATAACTAACGAAAATAGGTAAAGAAAGTGATTTAAGTTTGACCGTGTGAATAGTAACTGGAAAGATAATTTTAGGATGGAGAGAGTACATGAAAAGTTCTTCGAAATAAGAGGCGTCAAGAATATTTTATTTTATCAAATAACCAATGAAAACGTAGAAATAAACAAAAATTTCACCAACTACTGAAAAAGCAAGTATTACAAATATTTTGGGACGGAATGAGTATATATTTTCGTAAACCGAGAGAAAATTAACCAGTTGAGCGTTTTCACGGTATGGAAGAAATTAAAGTGCTAAAAAGGGGGGAAGGAAAAGGAAGTGCGTACAAATAGAAGGACGGAGTCCGACGGAAGGACGCCGTACACTCACGCGTGCTTTGTGATTGATGGAGAGTATATGCCAGTACCGACCCCGGCCCACCCAGCCTGATTTTGAACATTGTTTCTTTTTTTAGCAAGTTTGGATTATAAATTTTTGAGATATGATATAATACTCCCTCCGTCCAGTTTTATGTTTTTAATGTAACAAACTTAGGGAGTAATTATTAATTTCGATATTTACATATAAATAATACTGAATATTTTGTATAAAAAAATAGTTGATATTACATTTATATTATTCCGTGCTCTGTAAATACAATACATTAAATCTATTCTAGACTTTTAGAGGGAGGTCTTAGATGCTTAGGTTTAATCCGAGGCAAGGCCGAAATCGCCCGGCACAATAGAGGCGGAAAACTAAAAAAAACGAGCGGCACGGCGTACCGTCACAATGGATGACCGCCCGCCCGCCCGCCCAGATGAGCCGCAAATGGAGACCAGCGCACGCGGGATTTACGGAAAGCGCCGGTACTCCAATGCTTCTCCTGCAATATAATGGACGACCGGCGCGACGAAATGAGTCCCCGTTGCAAATGCATCAAAAAAGAACATTGTTCTTTTTGTCAATGATTAACAAGTGGCCTCCATCATCCCATAATATTACAAGGACCCGCTTCATAAAATGGGGACGGTGAGGGAATTTCACTACGCATAAAGTGGTCAATAATTTTAAATTTTGCAATAGGATAAAATTGATTTAATTTGTCCACTATTTAAATCGATAAATTTTGCAATAATTATTGATAGTTTCTTTTTACCTGCTCCATGATAGGATTGGTGAAATGATGAGATTCGATCGAATTGCACTGCCTTGAGGGAGTAGAACCTGAACTCTCTCTCAAACTGGGTCACTTATTTTTAAAAGAAAAATGAAATTAAACACTTTTTTTTGCCCTCCATTTCATATAAGAAAACAACGGCACTACCTTACAAAAATGGCAAAAATTCAAACGCCATTTTGTTGAGTGACGGTATAGTTGTGTCTAGTTTGCACATGACAAATGAACAGTGCTACTAATTTGAATCAAATTCAACTACTTTGAAGGATACATCTTTTCTCGTATTATTCATGATACGCGTACACACACATCCCCACTATACAATTTTCTTTAGTTTATATATGTGCGAACATAAAGAAAAAATGTACGAGTGATAGCGGACTAGTAGTCAACAGTAATGATGACGGTTGGTGACGTGGTAGTTAGATGCGAAGTAGTACTCCCTTCGTCCCAGAGTATTTGTCCTGTTTGACTTTTTTGAATCAAACTGGACAAAACTTTGTCTGTGGTGTATGCACGCACGCCAATACATACGTCTCACTTTTGGTATACTTCGTAATAATTAAAATATTTGTGGAATCATTCTTTTAAACAAAATTAAATTTTGAAAAAATTGTATTTCATGATTTTGATAAGTAGAAATGCTGAATTTTTTAAATTTGGTTTTCAAGTGAATACAGAGAACACAAATACAAGTACTCCCTCCGTCTTTAAAACATTGTCACAGTAATTTTTTTGGTCAAACTATGACCAAGAATTAAATGTAGCTTAAAATAATTAAATACTACTCCCTCCCTCCCTAAATAAACTTCCTTTTTTGTCTTTTTGAGGATTTAAGGGAGAGATATTTTTGTGTTGACTTTCCAAAAATATCATTGATGTGATGTGTAAAAGTAAGATGTGATATGTAGATTATTAGTAAAAAGGTATGATGTGATAGGTAGGGTATGGAAAAGTAAGGGGTAAAAGAGGTTTTTTAAGGAAAAAGAGAAGTTTATTTGGGGACAAAGAAAAAACGAAATGGGAAGTTTATTTGGGGACGGAGGGAGTATAAAAATTTGATATTTAAAAAGTATATTTTAAAATACACCCAAACTTACTAAACTTACATTTTAACTAAATATAGATTTTCCATAATTTCCGGTTAAATAGTGCTACAATTTGATAAAAAAAAAGTTAAACTGTAACAATCTTTTAGAACGGAGAGAATATATTTTAGCTCTATATTTGTAATTTGTGATAAAATAGGACATTCAATGCCCTCCATCTCAACTTATTGTACCAGACTACTACTAGTACATTTTGTAGTCTCTATTCCATTCTAATTATTTCCATTTTAGTCACACATCTTCTTTTTTTTTCAAGATTCCATTCAATTTCGTGTAATGTATTTTGGATATTTATTATGTAAAAATCGGCCCAAGACACGTATTGGACGGCAGCGCAGCTTGGTCAAAAAAGCGTGTGCGGCAACAGCCCAGTCGGTGAGGCCGATTACACCTGAATACGGGGTGGGTAACAAAATTCACTCCCCAATTCTTTACTTTCTCACTGCAAAACAAAACACAGCTTTTCAAGGCGCCCAGTCAAAAATATCCTAATGACGTATTTACTCCATTCATTTACAACATTCTTTTTTACTCCCTCGCCTTAAATCTAAGTAAACTTTTCTCGTATAAATTGGGATTTATAAATTTAATAGAAATTATTTAAATATTATTCCAGTGAAGTATTAAACTAAATAGTTAAGTATTAAATACTTATGTATTTAAAAATTATATCAAAATAAAGTTTTTATAACAATTTTACGTGACAATATTCTTATAACAAAGGATGACGGCAAATAAGTACTCTCACCGTCCCACAATTGATACCACACTCTAAACAATGTACAAAATTTTATAATTTTAAAAATTGTTTAAATTAGAAATTGCTATAGAAATAAAAAGTATAAACTATGTACACCATTCAAAAACACATAAAAAAATTTACAAATATGATTTGACAAAAATATTTTATTTCATCAAATGATCAATGAAAACACACAAATAAAAAAAGTGAAAGTGAAACTTATTTAGGGACAAAAGGAATAATTTGTTTCAATTTCATTAATCGAGGTTACAGTTTTTAGTTCACTCCAAATAATTTAATTCAGTTAAGCGCTTTTGGATTCAAATATAACTTATTTTTAGTTTATATGTGGGGAAGAAAAACCAAAATAGAACTAAAACATTGAAAATATATTAAAATAGGACTTCCATGTTTTTATTCCCGAAATAAGATTTACATTACTAAACATGGTCATATAGATTACCAAAAAAGTATAGTATTGTGCACATGTACACTGTCACATTACCACAGTGCAAAGTCGCATTACCACAGTGCAAAGTCCTATTTCAGGAAAAAAACATAAAAGTCCTATTCTGGTACTTTTCTCTAAGTTTAGTCTTATTTAGGGTGATTTCTATTATATGTGTTAGAAAATATAAAAATTATTCCTAGGTCAAAATCAAACATTTGAACTTTTGGTTGAGTTGCTTCATTGATATGATATCGGAGCCTTAATGAACAAGAGGTCACGACTTCAAAATTCAATACCACCCAATTTTAAAAAAATTAAAGTTTGACGTACTAACTATAAGAAGTCACGCTTGCACGTGAGAGGGCATATTAGAGTATATATAAAAAAAACTATTCCTGAACCACAACCTTAAGCTTCGAGTTTTAATTGAATTGGTTTCTTGACAATATCGTTCTAGTTCAAATAATGGTTTTGTTTAGCACTTTTGAATTCAAATGATTTCATTTCATAAAATGATTTTATAGTTCGCTTCAAATGATTTTATTTCAGTTAAACACAAATTATTGCTCTGAGATCTTATATGAAATCTCATGTTAGTTTTTCAATAAAAAAATCATCCTAAATAAGAGTAAAACACAAAGAAAGTACTAAAATAAGAATTTCATATTTTTATGATTGGTAATGTAAATGTATTTTAATTCCAATTTTGAAAATAAAATATGAAACTCTTATTTTAATATATTTTTAATATTTTACTTTTACTTTAGTCTTTTTCCCTTTATCAATTCATCTTCATAAATACTTTCCTAGCTACATTAATATTTGCAAGACGGTAATTTTGGTTTCATAAAATTAACACTGAAAGCTATACATTCACAATGAATTGGCTAAACTTCACCATTGGTCCTTCAACTTTATCAAGTGTGCACGATTGGTCCTTCAAGTTTTAAAAGTCCATAAATAGCCCTTCAACTTTATGAGTTATGCACGATTGGTCCTTCAAGTTTTAAAAGTGCATAAATAGTCCTTCAAGTACACGTCAGCCCTCCAGATGAGGTCCTTTTGACAGTAAATTTTAAAAGCTAAATAGTATACTAGCTCCATATAATACTGAGTAGTCGTACCTAGTGGAATTTACTCGTATTATATGAAACTAATATTTCTTTTAACTTTTAATATTTACTGTCAAAAAGACTTCATATGGAGGACTGACGTGTACCTGAAGGACTACTTATGGACTTTTGAAACTTGAAGGACCAATGGTACAGAACTTATAAAGTTGAAGGACTATTTATGGACTTTTAAAACTTGAAGGACCAATCGTACACAAGTGATAAAGTTAAAGGACCAATGATAGATTTTAACCCAATGAATTCAAAATTTAATTGATAGTGTTACATATACATACAGAGATTAATTAATAAGAACAGATCAATTAGCTAGCTGGTAATGTTAAGAGTGAATCAAACATTTCCCACTGCACGGTCTTTGATTTGAACAGCTCAAACCTTAAAAGTCAACCTCAGTTCCGTTCAACACGGGACACTTGTCACCACTCCATTGGACGGACCTCGCTCATGTGCAGTGCTTTTATCTTGTTGGGGACGACTAAACTAAATTATATTACTCCAAAATTTATGTCCGTATAGAGAGTACCTACTCACTTTGCAGAATGTTCGGCAACGTCCGTACAAGACGTCACTTTCTCCTTCCCGTGGGCCCCGCCACCTCACGCCGCGACAGCTGTCCGGCCCATTCCTCTCGCCGCCTGACCGCCGGCGATGATTTTCTTGGCGGTGGCTCTGATCGGGCAGTTGGAGCTGACGAAGCCGCCGATGAGGTCCAGATACGTGTTCAGGTCGTGGCATGCCGCGATGCTTATCCCGCCGCGGCTGCTCAGCCGCAGCTCGCACCCCACGTCGGCGTACACCCACCGCGTGTCCTCCACCAGCTTCCGGAGCCAGTTCCTCCGGCGGCTCTCGATCCGCACGTCGTCGATGACGAACCCGGGGACCTTCGTTATCGGGTCGTCGGAGTTCACTATCCTCAGCACTTTCGTCCCCTGCTTCTCCAAATGCCACCGGAAGCTCGGGTTCCCGACGCGGGGCCCGCCGAAGGACATGACCGTCACGAGCGGCGACGAGTCTTGGAACGTTTGTTTTATGTCGTAGGCGGCGAGGATGGCGAGGGCGGCGCCCAGAGAGTGGCCGGAGATGGTGATGCTCAGCGGCTCGCCGCCGTAGAGTTTAAGGATTCTTGAAATCTCTTCACGTATTGAGGCTTGTAGGCTCTGGGAATTGCCGGTGGAAGAAGTGTACAAACTCAGGAACCCACTCTCCACCATGGCTGGCCCCCAATCATTATTGTAATTATTGTCTTGTGGGTGTAATGGAGTGAGTGTTGCTCTTAGATTCTCCATCCATTCAAAGCAAGTGGCGGTCCCACGCAGGGCGACGACCACATCCCTCCGGCCGAGGCGCGCGATCTCGTCCTTGTCGTGGCACACCGCCACGTACCCGATCCAGCTCGACTGGGTGGACATCCACCCAGGGGCCCGCTCCATCCAGTCGGGCGCCCGGATGCCGCTCGTGGCCCTGAGGTGCCTCGTGACCTGGTATCCGGTCGCCCGCGCGAGGAGCTTGCTCTTTGAGTGCTGGCAACGGGCGTACGTCGGGGACGACGGGTCGAAGTCGTAGGACTTGTACGCGGCGTCGACGAAGTTCCCGTACCGCATGATCTCTTCCCTAAGCGTGTCGTCGAGAGGATCGAGGAGGCCTTCCCAGTTGCTAATCCCTTGGTAATCCATCCATTCATGGCCTAAGTTGTCATTAGTGTTTCTCATGTCAGGAACTTGAAGGGATGGTCTCATGCCTAGGCTTATATTTGTTGTTCTTCTTCTCCTAGTTTTAACATTGTTGTGGATAGGATTGGGTTTGGGTAAGAAAGATTGATTTTTTTGTAGAGGGGAATGTGATTTGATGAGTGTGCATGGTCTTATAGGATTCATTATTGAAAGCTTCATGATGATGATGATGATGTGTAGATAGATTAATAGATAGATATATAAATATATGTTGAAATAATGTGGGTTGGAGCAAGGTGCAATGTGGTTACTATATAGAGCAATTTATGCACTTTAGTGAGAGGTTAAATTGGGGAATTGAAAAATATCTCATACATACACTGCATTCTTGGAGCTGTTTGAGTCCACCTTTTATAATGGAGAAAAAGTTTATATCCAAAGGGTAGCACCACCCACTTTTATTTTACTTTATTATGTGAGTTTTCATATATCCCTGATATTGACAGCTACTTTCTATGCTCACTCCCTTTTTTCTGTGATATACTCTCTTTCTTTTACTCCCTCCCTCCCCAATTTGATTACAAATTGCGGGTTACGGAGTTAAATTTTCTAATTTTTAAAATTATTTTATTTACAAATTGGTATATCAATAACATATAAAAATTACATATTAAAAAACTACGTCAAAAGTTCTACAAAACAAGAGGCGATAAGAATATTTTATTTTATCAAATACTTAATGAAATCGCGTAAACAAACAAAAGTTATCGAGAGGAGAGAGAAAAAAAATTGTAATCTATTTAGGGACGGAGGGAGTATTTTTTTGCAAAAAAATACTCCCTACGTCCCATAAAACATTTCCTGTTTTAAAAATGGCACGCCTTTAAAATAAGTAATTTTAGTGTTATTTTTTAATTATGACTAATCTATTCTACACATCTCATCCTACTCTTTTATAAAGTAAGGGCAAAGTTAGAAAATAACACCAAAATTACTCATTTTAAGAGCGCGCCTTTTTTGAAACAGGAAATGTTTTATGGGACGGAGGGAGTACATTTCAAAAAAGTTTATACTACCCCTCTCCTTGAATAATTATTTAATTTTGACTTCTTTATGTCAAAATTAATAAACCTTGACCATACATTAATAAAAATGATACTCCCCCGTCCTTTAAAAAAGTTCCCGTTTTGATTTTTTGAGGATTTAAGGGAGTGTATTTTGGTGTTGACTTTCCAAAAATGTTTTTTGATGTGATAGATAAAGTAGGATGAGATGTATAGATTAATAAAGAAAAAATGTGATGTAAGAGGTATGTTAAGAATTAATAGGGGTAAAAGTGACTTTTTAAAAGGAAAAGGGAAGTGTCTTTTGGGACGGATGAAAAAAGAAAGGGGAACTTTTTTGCGGGACGGAGGGAGTATTATACTTCCTCCGTCCCTCAAAATATTTCTCCTTTCTTTTTTCATCCGTCCCAAAAAACACTTCTCATTTCTATTAAAAAGTCACTTTTACCTCTTACTTTTTCATACCCTACCTATCACATCATACCTTTTTACTAATAATCTATCCATCAAATCATACTTTTACCCATCACATCAAATAATCAGGAAAGATAGTAGTATAACTTTTATAACAATATATGTCAACTTAAAATATTTTTCAATCGTATATGGAAAAGTTTTATATTTTATTTTTTGTTTGTCCCAAGATTGGAACCTTTGGAGAACTAGGATTAGAGTAGTTGGATAAGGGCCCGGTGCCTCAAAGGTTTTTTGTAGTGTGCTTTGTTTGGTTGGAATCTTTTGTTATTGCTTGCAGGACATTCATTCCATTGTACTTGGTGTTTTATCTGCATTTTATTGTGCCCTATCATATTTTTTGTGCGGGTGGAGCCGAGGGTCTCTTGGAAACAGCCTTCTTACTTCCGAGTAGGGGCATGGTCTGCGTACACACACCTCCCCAGACCCTACTGTAGTGGGATTCAACTGGGTTGTTATTGTTTTTGTTTGTCCCAATATAAGGTCGCACTTAGTTTCTTATTATATGAATTGATTATACGGAGTATATATATGGAGTGTATTACTTTCATCTCCCACTTTCTCGAACATGAAAAAAGGACACAAAAGTAAGAATATTTTTTTTGATATTGAATTCATTGAAAAAGTAAAAAATGTAAAAATGAATGTAGCCACATAAACATGATCAAATATGATACTCTCTCCAATATCCTAATTAAAACTAACATCTTGATGCGATTTACTATGTTTAGCTGAAGTTCATAACAATTTATTAAAATTAGAAGTGACATTAGTTGTATGGTTGCTTATAAGGTAAGTATATGAAGAAGCATTGATTATTGGATTTATACTTCAATCCAAAAGCCAAAGAATTTGTTGCTTTGGTGCATGACACATATTTCAGTTAACTCAAATTACATTTAGACTGTTCCATCTATCTATTCTCATGACTTTAAATTAGTAAAATTTGTACTAAATAGTACTAAAATATAAGTTTTTTTTAATATAAGATTTAAACTTTTTTAGTCCTTAAATAATACTTAATAATGCCTAGTGAGAGAAATAATGTTCAGTGATGTTAGATATATTATTCATATGGATAATGACTATTAGTCCTACATTAAGAAATAAAAAACATTTGTTTCTATATTGAGAAAATCATTATGTTTTAGTAGTACTATTTAGTTAAATTCCTTCTTTAATTATTTAAGGTGGGAAATATGGTGATTTTGATTAGTTTAATTAGGTTTGGTTACCCACATTACCAACTTTGTTTGTACGTTAGTATGTACAAGCAGGCAATGCAACTGTATGTCTGTATGAACGTATCATATACTACTGGATGGTCCATTTTGAAACAGAAATTCAACATTATGTTATATTATATTATATATTTATTCTCACGCACTTAAGAAGAGACATACACGTATGGGGAGTTTGTTACTTTGTATAATACCCAAAATTAGTAACGTACTCCCAAAGTGGAAACATACTAGTATGATAGTCCGTATTAGGCTTGGACACGGTACTGGTGCGGTACCGTCACCGGCACCGGTACCGGCGGTACCGAGTACCGTCACCGTCACCGGAGACGACCAATCGGTTCCTGGAACCGGTACCGGTACCGCCTCAACCGGTACCGTGTCTGGTTCCCAAATTTCGTCACCGGCACCGCCGGTACCGGTACCGGTGCCGGTTTAATTTTTTTTCTTTTTCTTGCTCCTGCCACCAACGGATACCTGCAAAAAAAAAAAGAAA